CTCACCAAGCTTCCTACAAGCTTGAAATTCCCAAAAACATAAGAAATTATGTGTTCATGAACAGTACCCAAAATCGGGTATCCCGAGTTCGACGTGAAAACGAAGGTATTCTTACCTGAAATGGGTATGGTTAGACTCCAATGGACCTCACGAGCATGGATATGTACTTTATTTCTTCGATCTGTGAAGGTTTGATGGGTTTGTGTGTATGTCCGTACACCTGGGTAGGAAATGGGAAGGGAAGGGAGCTCGGGACAGGGTGCAGGGATAGGGAAAATGGTGTACGGTGTAGGAGAGTGTGTGTGGCCCAAAACATGCCAACAAAAACCCAAAAACATACACACAACGAAAAATCACACTAGGGGCAAAATAGTCTTTTCACGCGTACGTTTTAAAATTTCGGAACGGGCTGTTACATTAAGCCTTCCATGCATGTAACAAAAATTTTTAAAATAAACTCCAACATAATGTTCAAATACATAACATTTAAATAAATTTTATTTCATAAAAAAAAATTCAAATTTGATCACTCTTCCTCTACGTCATCAGCAGGTGCATCGACAGTGGCAATATCAACTTGTGCATGATTTGCAGCTCGCTGTACTCCTGGAACTTCTTCTTCAAAATGTCATCCACATACTTCCACTGCTTCTCATTGGTTTCATCAACATCCCAAACAATCTGTAATGGCAAGAAAATTAAATTAAATATGGCAAACAAATTATTTTTAAACAAAAACAACTACACATTCTATAATATAAACTTATCGATAACTGTTGCACCATTGAGTTCTTCACGTCCACAGGCACCATTTTCCAAGAGTTAAAGTCGATAGAACACTTCTCCCAACCAATCCCCCTATATTGTAATTAAGTTCAGCGTATGCTTTAGCCGAACTTTTGTCAGCAAACGAGGGTAAACGCTTACGTCGGTATTTCTCTAATGTCACCACAGCTTTCTTCATTTTTTTTTTCCTACCACAAATATTTAAAACGTAATATAGCCTATTAAAACAACAATTTCAACCATATCAATTGTAAAACAATTAAGTCAAGAATAATTTATTTTTACCTTTCCCCTTATGAGATCCTTCCCTATCCACACCTTTCGTTGACTCTGAAACTGAATCAGCCATCGTTTGATATAAAACCTTTGCAAAATGGAATTCTGAAATCGTGTTTATATAAAACTCCACACACTTTGTGCGACCAATGGTTCGTCGCGCAAGGTTCTCATAACTGCCCACTATAAATGTTAGCGTTTAATGCTTCGCTGACCAGTCAAACTATGTCTTCAAAACCCTCTACGCGATGAATAATGGTAATCGTCACATAAATTCATATTCCGCGACGAATATATTTGTCACTCAAAGAGCCTGACACACCCCGATCGAGATCAGGGCATGCTGGCCGTCACGTGGAAGTGACGTAACCATGTGCACAGTGCGGAAGCTAATAAAATAATAATACGAATAAATAAAACTAGCTTTACACAAAGCAATAACGAACAAGTGCAAGCGTAAGTGTGAACACTAAGTTCAGAGCATGAAAGCCTAATGCAGTCCGGGAAAAAACGACACAACAAGAGCACACCCGAAGGTGGTCCTACACTGGTGGTGGTCTGTCAGATATGCTGGGGAAATCCTCAGGGAAACCACCAAACGTGCTAGCCAACTAGAACCTGGAGGGGTGCAAAACAAAAGCGTGAGGGGGCAAAAACAAAGTTTTTCGAAAACCATTTAATAAATAAGTTCTAACTCCTCGCCGTAAAACCTGTATACTTCCCAGAAAATAGAATATATATATATATATATATAAAAGTCATGCTCAGGAATATGCTATGCCAAAACCTCAAAGTAAAATGCAAGTGCTCAGGTAATATCACATCAATGTCATATAATCTGTCAGCCGGAGTCACCTAACGTGACCTGTACAGCTGAATCTAGAGCTCAAATCTCCATCTCACTAACTAAACCTGCACACGAGTCGGAACCACCTAAAGTGGTCTGTACGACAAGCCTGGGTGTAATATATATATACGCTCAAGTGCTACGATCACGTGAAGGCTGGGCGAATAATCGCGGGTCACCTATAAGTCGGAACCACCTAAAGTGGTCTGTACGACAGGACTGTGCACCTAACTTGGATCCAAGATGAGCGTGTGGTGCGGGAGGTGAACATCACGTGAAGGCCTGTGCCCAACTCTGGGTGGGAGCACTAACACCGGGGGTGCAGGTTATGAGCTCTCTATATGCATCTCAAAACACTACTGAACATAAACGTAATCATACTCACCTGGCACTTACCTGTGCATTCGCAGCACCAAACATACATATATATATATATACACACACACAATTAACAATGCATAAACAACGGCAAACTATAGGCATAGCATATAAACGAATAAACGTTCTAAATCAATTTCTGGGAAAAGTATAAGTATATAGGTATATACGGAAAACCAAAAGCCCACTCACTGGTATGTGGAAGGGTCGTAACCCCCTTGCCTCGAGTGACCACGCTCGTCCTCGGGGTAGGTATCACCTATATGTGAAACAACTATAAAAACGTTAATTTTAAAACACATAACCAACCTTATGAAAAAACTTCTCATACAATGCTCAAATGGGGTGTATGAATACACCAACGTGATCTACTCAACCTCAGGAATATCCCCATATTTTTAGAAAAAAATTTCACCGCCGCACGCGCCCCCACGCGCCGACCACGCGCAGGCACGTGCCTGGCACGCTGACGGCGTCAGTTAACGCCGTCAGGAATATTCTGTTAACTTTAACGGATTCCGTCAACGGCATTAGGAATATTCCGTCCAAATTAACGGAATATTCCGTCGTCTTCTCCGGCGAGGCTCCGCCGCCGTCGCCGGTTCCGGAAAATCGGGGAAATTTCAAATCGTAATATCTTCTTCGTTTTTCAACCAAATTTCACAAAATTGGTACCAAATTGAAGCTTACAATGAGAGGAACAAAATCATACCACTTTCAAGTGCTAAAATCCACAGAATCTCGCTGGGAAAATACCCCCAACTCCGGCCAACCTCGAAACTCACGATCCCGATGTCCAAAACCTTCAAACGAACCACCCCGAGCCTCCTAAGGACCTCACCAAGCTTCCTACAAGCTTGAAATTCCCAAAAACATAAGAATTTACGTGTGCATGAACAGTAACAAAATCGGGGTATCCCGAGTTCGACGTGAAAACGAAGGTATCCTTACCTGAAATGGGTATGGTTGAACTCCAATGGACCTCACGAGGATAGATATGTACTTTGTTTCTTCGATCTGTGAAGATTACAAGGGTTTTGGGGTGTGTCCGTATAAGGGATATGAAAATGGGAAGGGAAATGGCACGGGACAGGTGCAGGGATAGGGGAAAGGGTGAGGGAAAATATGGGAGAGTGTGTGTGTGGTCCACAATCAGCCACACCAAGCTCAAAAACAACCACGCAACAAAATTTCACACTAGGGGCAAAATCGTCTTTTCACGCGTACGTTTTAAAATTTTCGGAACGGGCTGTCATAGAGCCATTATGCGATGCTTACTACTTTTCATTGCACAAATATCGGAAGACAAAAAAAAAAAAAAAACTTTCAATAAAATAATTGCAAACAAATATTTAGTTATAATATTTATTCTACAAATAAATAAAACCATAAATAAATTGATTTAATGCATTCAATTATTTAAAAACCCATCCATGAATTAAACCCTAATTAAGTCCAAATACATAACTTATAAAATTTAAAAAAAAAACCTTAAATTTAAATATTGTCATATAAAACATAAATTTAAAACTGCTATTTCGATGGTCCTCCATTCCGCTGGACTTCATAACGCCACCTATTGTATCCTCCCTCCAACGCATCCTCCATCAACTTCATCAACTGTTCGTTCATATCATCATCAAGAGTATACTTCCACTGTTACACATATGCAAATAATTAATTCCAACATATAATAAAAAAAATTCACAAAATTACTTATTGATCCATCAACAATATACTTACTAATAATTCTTCCATCACCGCCTTCTTCACATCCTCGGGCACATCTTTCCAAGAACGCCACTCAGCAGTAGGACAATTGTTCCCCATGGCTACAGCAATCGCATGCGCGAATTGAAAATGCTGCCTCAAATCATTCGGGTTGGCGTCGGTCATGCTCTGATCCTTATTTTTATCCTCCATCTCACCATGAACAAAATTGTGACGAATAAAGAGAATAGAATTGTGAAGAATAAGGACAATAGAAGAACATATTTATAGGAAAGATGAGGCCTTTGTGCGACGAATTCTTCGTCACTCAAACATCTGTACTAAATGCAATATTGATTCCTGATTCACCTGCAGAGAATGGTCAGAGTTAAAGCTGGCAAGAACTTGTGCGACGAAATCTTTGTCGCGCAAAGTTCATTTTCGTCACGCAAGGTTCTCGCGCCAACTCACGCCAAAGTAATTTCCCGTATGTTTTTCTTGTTGACTTTGCACGACAACAAGGCCTATTCATCGCGTAAAGTTGCCTTGCGCGACGAAGTTTTTCGTTTTGCAATTTTTGTTTCTTTCCTCTCTGTTTTGCGTGATGACATTTTGTGTTTGTCGTGCAAGGTGCTCTTGTGCGACAAAATTTGTAATTTCGTCGCGCAAGCTTTTTTTTCTACTAGTGATAGCTATCCTTAATACATTGGTGGCATCTGAAAATAGTACCACCCTAAATCATTGGTGTCAAAATTGCAAATTGTGTTTAAAAAAAATAAAATAAAATAAAAAAGGATGCCTTGTATGGTACGGGCACCCAGATTGCAATTTCATAATTTTTTTTTTTTTTTTTTTTTTTGGTGGTGACAAAACAAATTGTAATATCATTGATATAAGAATACAACTACAAATTTACATAATTGATCTTTTAAACAATTTTGCACAAATGTCGGTGAAGATGAGTGGTAACAAATAGACTGAAAATTTAGAATCAATGAAGGGATAAATGACAAAAGCTTCCCTTACCAAAATCACAATTCTGTTACAAGATTAAGCTACTTCAAACTTACATTTGCTCCTTACACAAAGATAACAGCTTCCTATAAATGCATAGCACCACTTTAACTGATCCCAAGTTCTCGTTTTCCAAATCCTTGTAACATCTTTTTGCTCCAAGCTATTAGTGATATGTGGGGAGAAAATGGAAAAACATGAGATGGAACATAGAAAGAATTTGTTTTATAAGTATGCACTTAAAGCAAAAGTATTGAATTGGACATGAACATGATTTTTCCTGTTACAACTAATTTCAAAACAGAAATTGTCTTCATATTGTCTTTTATAAGTAAGCTAAGTCAATTTCTAGGTGATTACGTGCCCTTAGAAAAAAGAAAGAGATAGACATGCATCGACTCTTACATTCTAGGTCATATTATATTTGTGAAAAGGAAAAGAGACCTCACGGATTGCAGTGCCGAGAAAATCACCCTTGTCATCATCCAACATTCCAGCAGTCAATTCCGATATTGCATGTTGGGCTTGGTCAGAAGCTGTTATTCTTTATCCTTAAATCAACACAATAAAACAAGTGCCACATTGAATTGGGCATCTAAATCCGCTTGGTTTTTCAACAAGTCCAGTACGTTCTTTCATGCATTCAGCAGGCGCTCTCTCCCCAAATATGCTCAGACATTTTAAGAAGTCCACAAACATTCTAAAGTCTGCACCAGTCACATCTTCCAAACTCTGCAATTGAACTCAGTCATATTATTTATATACAACCTTGCAACAGAAAAGTAAAATAAAATTGAAGAGATTTCTTTTAACTAAAGGTAACATGAGGGGAAGAGAACAACATATAGATTTACTAAATAGAGGCGACAAAGCAATACAGAAAACCAACATCATGCCACACTCAAATAATACTATCATAGGAGCTTAAGTACACAGTTCCAAGACTCTAAATCTAGACATGCCATGGAGACAATTGACACAGCAATCATGTACATACCTTTTTTTATCGAACCAGTAATATGCCTTTCCATTTTCTCCTGAGGCTTCAAAATTTCAGCTTTAATAGGAAATACGTACAATTTTGATCATTTAACATCTAGTTATCTTAAAGAGATACATGTTAACAATCATATTGGGCATTCAAAAAAGTAATATTCTCATCTTATCTCTAATGAAGCTTTAAACCTTCTCCCGAATGATCTCATATGTGCTTGGTTCCTCAACACTCCCAATGTGCTTGAATAATGCTGTCAAAGAAGATGTACATTCAAGAAGATGAGGTACATTATGAAAGAGAGAGATTTCGATGATCCTAGATGTATCAAGTGTTGAACTTAAGGCTAGTAAGAAAAATACATAAAATGTGTATGCATTTGTACATATATACATATTTACTTATAAATAAAAATGCTAACTTACAATTTGATGTAATGAAACATCAGTTAATTTGTAATAAACATGTAATCTGTAATCGTGCAATATCACTTAATTTGAAGATCACAAATATACCTTTACCATATTGCCTCAAAAGGGCCATAAGTGCTTTATGCACGACATCATGCTCCACAAATTCCTCTAAAAGCATCAACAAAGCCAACATCAGAATCATATAACACAACCACCATACGCCCAGGATCACAATTCCCAACAAAGAATGGAAAAAAAATTACCAGTGCAATGAGAAAATCACCCTGTTCACCTTAAACCTTGATTCACCTTCCTCATCCCCAATCTTCGACACGCATATGGAAAATCGTATTCAAATTTGAAATCTAGAATCTATCCAAACACTGAAAGTTTTTATTTTGAGAAAGCACATACACTAGAGAACAACTCACAAAGAGAGGATCATTTTTACCTCTTGGGTTGAGGTCCAATTTCGGCAGACTTCGCCGGAATTGGTCGGAAAACCCGCAGTCACCGTTTCTTAGATCTGAAATTGAGGAACTTCGGCTTCGAATTTGTAGAAACTAACTTGTGGGGTTGAAAAGAGGAAGGGAAGAGGATTATAGAGGTATAATTAGACGATTGTTGGTGACTAGAGGACGGTGGCGCTGCTACATGAAAGAGAAGAGGGGGAGAGAGGATAACGAAGGGAGGAGAGAGAGAATGAAGGTGGAAGGGAGCAGGGAGAAAGAAGGGGAAGAGTTGACGTTTGGGAAGGGAAGACAGTATTCACAGCTTTTTTATCTGCTCTATTGATGCCCAAGTTAATCACAAATACACAGGAAATTACTTATTAAGAATTAAAGGGATCATGATCCTCTCCTGATCTAAGAATGAGGATCCTCATGATCAAAGAGTGTGGGTCGTTGGATGAAAATTCAACGGTTATAAACAGGGAATCCCTTTAAAGTTATAATAATTATAACCGTTGGATTTTCATCTAACGGTCCACACTCCTTAGTCATGAGGATATTCATCCTTAGATCAGGAGAGGACCCTGATCCGAATTAAAGCATCTAACATGCGGAGTAAGATTTCCTCCTCTCTTTTTTTTCCTTCTCTCTTCTTCTCTCCTATTTGAACGGTCACGGTTAAGCCACGTCAACATCTTATATTAATTTTTTTTATAGAAAGAGAAAGACAAAATAGAGAATGTGAGAGGAGGTGATGGAAGGGGATGGAAAGAGGAGGGGAGAGAATTGTAGTCCCTAACATACACTAATGGTTGGTGTCTCATATTTGAAGGCCACCAATATCAGTGGCATCTAACTAAAAAGACACCAAAAAATGTTAAGAGTGTTGTCTTTCTATCCATAGTCACCAATTGCAAATAGTGTGCAAACATTGGTGTCCTATATAGCCATAATTCCAGTAGTGTTTTTTCGGTTTCTGTTGCATGGGCACCATTATCAGGTTTTTTTGTTCTATGCTTTTTTACAAAACTACTAAAGATTTTGAGAAAATTGTAGCAATGATCCCTCAACTAAAAGTTCATAACCATTGTTCCTTCAACTCATTAAAACGTTCAAGGTCATTTTTGTCAACTCCGTCAAAATGACTCATGTGTGGAAGGATTATTGCTACAATTGTGTTAAAGTCCAGGGATCAATATTGCTACAATTTTTTTTATTTGGTTTTTCATATTTGCCCTTGATTCAACCTCATGTGTGTGGCACGTGACTCATTTTGATGGAGATTCTAACAGAGTTAACGAAAATGATCATAGCTATACATTTTGATGAGTAATGGACTAATAATCATGAATTTTTAGTTAAAAAATCATTACTTTAATTGAGTTAAAATTAAAGGACCGTTGCTATAATTTCCTCTAAGATTTTAGTTACAAGTGTGGTTTGAAGATCTATGAAAGAATAGCATAGATAGTATGACTCTCTCATCATCGGTCGAACAGATGCTATATTCTACAATTATTATATATACCAGAATGTCAACCATTTCCAAATCTGATTTCGATACAACGTGCGCTGACCAGGTGAGATAAAGATCGATATATATATATATATATATATGCGGCACATAATTTGTCGTCTTTATCACATAATTTATCGTCTTTATTGTTACAATTGCATTCAAATTTTAAAGTGCAATTTGGATATCATGGCAATATGGCACCCAACATGATCATGTTGCAGTGTAGGTCCTACTGCGTACTAAGAATAATAATTGAGCTAAACGTCAACTTTTTCTCTACAAAATTGTATTAACAAAACCATTTCTTAACTTTATGACTAATTCACTTTTTATTACTATGACACCGGATAATAGAAATCAAAGAGAAACCACAAATGAAGACTTAAAGATAAACAATTTGCCACTCTAAGGAATTCACCAAAGAGATAAGAGTTAAGGATAAGAAGAAAAACACTTTTCACTAAACGAAGTTTGAAAGTAATTCTTAATTTCTGAATGATTTTTTGTTTTCATACATTAGGGTTTTAAATAGTCTAGGCATAGAACAACCTTCAACCTTCCATGAATATGTTACTAAGCATGAACTTAATGTAATACTAATCATGACCTTAAATGAAAACATGAAACATCTTTGAATTAAATATGATGAATGCACCATGTAATAATTAGACAAGTCCAAATTCGGTGTCAGACGCTTCCGTTGCACAATAACTCGTCCCCAAGTTCTCTTCACCTTCGCAGCCATGACAAGGAGAAAGGTCTGCAACATTGAAGGTTGCTGATACTCCATAATCGTCTGGAAGTTCAATCTTGTAAGCATTGTCTCCTACATGTGTGAGCACCTTGAAAGGACCATTAGCTCGTGGTTTCAGCTTCCCATGCTTTCCTCGAGGGAATCATTCTTTGCAAAGATGAAGAGAACTTGGGGAATAGTTATTGTGAAGCAAAAACGTCTGACACTGAATTTGGACTTGTCTAATTATTACATGGTGCATTCATTATATTTAATTCAAAGATGGTTCATGTTTTCATTTAAGTTCATGATTAGTATTACATTAAGTTCATGAGTAGTAACCTATTCATGGAAGGTTAAGGTTGTAACCTATTCATGGAAGGTTGAAGGTTGTTCCATGCCTAGGCTATTTAAAACCCCTACTCATGTATGGAAATAAAATTTATTCAGAAATTAAGAAATACTTCTAAACTTGGTTAAGTGAAGAGTGTTTTTCTTCTTATCCTTTAACTCTTATCTCTTTGGTGGATTCCTTATAGTGGTGAGTTTTTTATCTTTGAGTCTTCACTTGTGGTTTCTCTTTGATCTCCATTATCCAGTGTCAATTTGCTATTAAAGTACTATTCTATCATGGTTGGGAGGCGTGGGTGGAGGCGGACAAGCTGGTCAGGATTCACCCTATCGTGAGAGAGATCTGCGTGACATTGAAATGGACAAACTAAGGAGACAAGTGTAGCATCTCCAACGGTGTCTCAGGCACTACTAAACTCTGGAACATGATGATCCTATCATGAAATAGAGAATGATGGATCCGATGATGGGGAGAAGAATCCTTTTGTAGGGAACAAATTTCTAAATCTTAATCTTCCTCTAAAGTTTGATTTTTGTTCAAGTGGTTCTTGTGAAATTTGTTGTGATGTATGTCGTTATGATTTTGTCTATGATGATGGTGAGACGAGGGTACAATTGATGTGGTTGATCAAGAAGGTTTCCAATATTTGTCAATTTCTAATTATTACAATGGTGATTAAAATGTGATTACAATGGTTGAAGAGTCCCAGGAGTAGCTATATAATGAGGTAAAAGTTGTTGACATCCGTAGAATTCATGATACTTTTTGGGAAGATTTCATTGTTCGAGATATGAGAAGGAAACCATTGAATAGAATTTTTCAATATGATTTGAATTATTTCTACTCAATCCCAAATTATGAGTATGAAGTAATTCAGAAGCATTATTCCAAGGTGATTGTTTTTAAAGGAAAAAAAAGGGTGCGTGCATGTTTTGCAAGAATGTGGAAAATCAGAAGTTCTCTCAATTTTTTTTATGTCTTGGGATTTTTCATGGTCTTCAAATTTATTGGTGTTAAATTGGATGAAGTGGAAAATGTTAGTTGGACATCCGAAAGATCAAGGAAGACCAAACAATACTCGAGGATGAGTTATCGCGCAGAGAAAGCATATGACACCAAATCTAGACACATCTAATTATTAGATGGTGCATTCATCATATTTAATTAAAAGTCTATTCAATGTTTCATTTAAGTTCATGATTAGTATAAAATAAGTTCATGCATAGTTTTAAGTCCTGGTTATGATCATAAATAAGGATAACCTATTCATGGAAGGTTGTTCCATGCGTACACTATTTAAACCCCTATTCTCATGTATGGAAATAAATCATTCAAAAATTGGGAATTGTGTTTAAACTTGATTTAGCAAAGAGTGTTTTTCTTCCTATCCCTAAACTCTTTTCTCTTTGGTGGATTCCTTAGAGTTGCAAGTTGTTTATTTTTAAGCATTCACTTATAGTTTCTCTTTGATCTCCTCCGGTGTCACACTGCAAGAAAACCGAGAATTTTGGGGCTCTCATGTGGGTACATATAATTAATGGTTACGTATTTTATGCAACTGCCTGCACATTTGAAGGATTTTTTTTTTTTTTTGAGTTTATTAGGAACCCAATCATTTGGTCTTATCTTTTTACTTTTTATAATATAAATGGATGACAAGAGTTCGAAATATCTCACTTCTATGAATGTCTCTTGAACGTTGTAAGCCTAATTGTTTATTTACGGGGTATTGGTATCACCACCCCGCTATACCCGCGGTCCTTGTACATGTTTATTGGGGACTATCCAGATTCTCTTTTCTTCTCAGAAAGATTGTGTCTAATTAGTTTTAGGGCGACCCATACCGCACCTCTCTCCGCATACCTCTAATCAGGTTCTGTATTCTTCAAATACTATCTCCCATGCAGCATGTCAACCATATTCCCCAAATCCGATGATGTGGATGATATATATCACAGTGGTGAGCAAGATGAGATTTATGCTTATTATTGGTCAAGGAGACCTTCCTGTTCATGTCTGAAAGTGGGTCCAACATGTAGTGCACAGAATATGTTCATTTTTCTCCTCAATCTCTTCTTCAACTTTCTGTATAAATAGCTTATGCATATCCCACCATTGTAATGCGAGCAGAAACAAATGAAAATAATAGCAAGCATTGCCTGGAAAAGAAGAGAGTGCAATGGAGCCAAGGATGAATTGCCGGCGCTATAGATAATTAAGTTCATAAATGTGTATACATGCCACCAAAATCCGTATATATTTGCTTGCCGGCAATTTGTTCTTGGCTATGTTGGGTTCTCCTCGTTCCATGCGATGTCATGATATATACAGAATGTGGAATTTAAATAATAATATATCTTTGTTGTTTGTTTAAGAGATATTTTGGATGCGGTCCCTAATCCTTAACATTCTTTGATTAAAACCTTAATAGTATTCAAAGTTTGATCAAGGTCTCTTGACTTTGTACACCTCATTATATTACTATTAATATTTATATTTTTATAGTTTTGACATTAATTGTTTGATATTTTATGAGATTTATAATCCTATAAATTTAAAATCCCTCATTATAATACTATTAGAAATGGTTACAATAAAAAAAATTCAAACATTTTGATTGAATAAATGGATAAATGACACACCCCGACCCAGAAAGTCCACTTGGACCCTGAATCGAGCTGTGCTGGCCGACACCTGGAAGGTGACGAAGCCATAAAATGTGATAGTGTATAAAA